AAGCGCTCTCATTCTCTGATCTCTTTTGTCGTTCATTGTCCGAGCAAAGGTGCTCTTTGTTGTTCCTTCAAAGCATTGGTCAACATCATAGTATGTCCTGTTGCAGGTTGCTGAAATGAGCGATGGGATAATGTAAACAAGTACATACTGTACAGAAAATATCCTGGGGCCAAGATTAGCTGCCTCTCCTACTGGTAACATCAGATCCAAGACAATAAAACTGACAACGAAGACGAGACATGCAGATGTTAGAGCAGAGACAGGCACTGTCCATGATTAAAGGAAAGAATATGACACCAAATGCTCACAGATACATTCAGCTCTGTGCTGCCTTTATGGATTATAAGGCGCTGGTTTTCTGAGCAGCGTTACTAGATCATTTTCTTTCATTTGTTAAGGAGGATTTATGAAATTTGATTGAAAATGGACAGACACTTATTTAAATTGATTTTTAAAAGTCCTACATTTTCATAGTCTAAAAGTTAATTAATTTGAGATATGCAGAACATATTACAACACAATGTTGTGTTGTGTGTGCAGTTGTGTTGCTGTTCCCTCTAAGTTTGCATCTCATGTAGCATTTCACCCGGCATCTCCATGGGAATGGAGACTTTTTTCTTCTTTTATAGTGAGAACCCTTACTGGCATTCTGACTACTATTTACCTGTTTTACCATTTTTTGTTCAGCTTTGTCGAGACATAACAGCTATGACTTCTTATATTGATATCCTTTAAATTCTTTCAGTTATCTAACATTTTGTGATTTTTTCTTGTTCAAATGAATGGAAAAAGCCCTAAGGTCCTTCAAAAAGTTGGACCTCCTTTAGCTCCAACTATTTCAGCATAGTTTAAGCTCGAAACACCATTGAACTTTCAAAGGGATGCCAAGGCATTGAGCAATAAGATTGAAATATAACAGTTTCAAAATCATCCACGTTTGCTCCAATGATGGTGTATTAGAGTGGGACATCAAATAAGTCTCCAAACTCTTTCAGTTTACCTTAACATCCTTCAACTTTCATCTACAAATTACAAATCAAAATGTAGGTTAACTTGTCCTCTCTTAGCTAATGTAACTATAAAAGCACTTCAACATACAATGTGAGCGATGATCTGCAGTCAGAGAAACGGCCTCTGACACACAGAACACAGCTCAGTCCCTGGACTGACTTTACATAATAGGACACCCTCCTCTGGATATCGCTTATATAAACCGATGTGATAAAATGGTCCACACATACTGGTTACTCGCTAGAGGGTAAAGTGTACAGCTGCAAACAGGAAACACACAGCAGGCCAGGAACATATCTGCGAAGTAAGGCCACTTTATCAAGAGATAAGAGATGCCTGCAAAAGTAAGCATCATCCTGGCCAGGATATTGCAATCGATGGAGGAACAGTTGCCTCCAAACAAACACTAAAGAAAGCAGGAAGAATAAGCTTGTTCAGCTGAGGATAAACTGTTTTCTGACATCCTTGTAAAGTTACACTTAGGGACATTTTTCTCTGGCAACAATGAGACAGTGACAAAGGAGCTCAGCTCTGAGTCTGTTATGGGCCTGAAAGACAATCAGCAGTTACTATAAGCAAACTGCCTTTACACACAGCTTTAGAACACCTATCTTTTCCATGACCTTGGTGTGTACAGCTGTCTCAAACTCTTTTTTTCAATAACATAACTATGAAATTATACTAAACAAAATATAACATTTCTGAACTACAAATCAATGGCAAAGAAATCACTTGCCTGGCTCTTTGACAAATCCATCTAAGAGAATGTAAAAATGTTTCTAGTTTAGTATTATGAACGATTTTTACAACAAAGCACTTGTTTCGCCCTTTTTAAATTAATGCAAAACATTTCATTTCACATGTGGGTGGAGAGGCAATACGTTTTGGAATGGATTTACTCTGTCATTACTCTTGATGGAGAATGTCAAATTTATACAAGAACTTGGCAGGGAAACAGGTTGCGGTCAGGTTGTATTTTCCACTTAATGTTCTCAACTGTGGTAATCTTACAGCATTTGGAAAAAAAATACAAGAAAATTCAATAGAAATCTGTTCAAACATCTGCTTCCCAGTGTCAGCAACACTTATTGTAACTCTGACATTTGCTGAACAGGTCTGTTTGGGTGCTTTAGGGATGCTTGGATAGACATTTAGTCTAATTTGACTGGAGTTAAAAACTTTAAGAGATTTGTGGACCTTACTAGTTGTAAAACAACCAAACTGTAACTTCTGAATAGACTTTTTAGCTAATAATATGGAGTTGTTCCTGATATTCAAGATATTCAAAACGTATACCAGGGCCTGGACGAGAGTATTATATTGTTGTCTTTGTGCACAACTGGTTAAAAGGGAAGAAAAACATGCATCATTGTTATGGATGGGCCTCAGGCAGATTGAAAATTGTGCTGCTGCTCCCTGTGAGGTAGTTCTCCTTCTTAACAGATTCAATTATTTGTTCATTAAAATGTGCTCGCTGTTCCCTTGCAAAAGAGCCTAAAATTCAAAGCAGGAGGGAAAGGCAAACGAAGGAAGCCTGGCTTTTAAATGAGCGGTAACAAAAACGCTGTAAACAGCAGAAATCCTGTGATCTGACACATTGATCCCACAATCTTCTTCAGCTAGACTCCTGGGGCTCATGTTTTTGGCTCAAGGCGCTTTTGATTTATTAGTAAATGCAGGGGTGAAATATTGTATAATGGCTTAACACAAATTACAAGGTAGGCATACCTCAAACTAATTGAACATGCACATGGAATTTCATGCAAATCCATCCACAACAGGCACCAAGCTGTTACTGTGTGAGCTAATCCAAAGAGAGAAGCATTTAACTGTCAGTTCTATTCGATATGCGCAATATTACAGTTTGGAATTCCGTACATAAAAGGTTGATAAGTTTTAAAAGCTTTCCAAAAAATGTGTTGGCCAGAGAAACCAAATATCCTGTGAGTTTAACAGACAGCATAAATGAGGAAGAAGGCGTTTGACCACAGGGTAAAAAAGAATGGCCGAACGTTTACGTGTGTGGCTCTTTTTCAGTCAAACTGCAATTTTATGCATCTTTTATCCCTTAATGATTGAACTCAAAGACTTGGCTTTAAAGTGAAACTAACGTTGGATGTGATCAACACAAACGCTGGTCAAAGTCAAGATGAAAGAACAGCCAGTGCTGATGTACTCTTTAACATCTATTACAGCACCAAATGTGAAAGGACCCCTAAATGAAAAAGATACATATACACACATATAAATTATACAGCACAGTACGATATGCGATACTTAGAAATTATAAACACAAATGCAAATTAACCAATTTTATAAGATTCATTTGAATATTTCTACTCTATTAAAAGAGTAACTGAAGAAAAAGAAAAATAAAAGGCTGATATAAATGTTATGAATGGAAAAATATGGAAATCCTTAAACACAGACGAAATGTCCTTATGCTGTCAAGAGTTCTCGTTTTAAGCACGTCAATTACACAGTAATAACATAATAATGTCAGTGTTAGTCGTTTTACCTTTTATGTTCTTATTTTTCTTTAATTCATGGACATTTTTCACGCAAATAACTCTGATTTGATTCACCTAAATTTGTTTCTGAATGTTTTCTCAGCTCCTTACACTCCTCGTGGCAACTCAGGAAGCATCAGCCGGCTCCGGCCCGGTCGGCTGCTCACCGCTTCAGCTGGTGTTCTAACAGAATCTTTAGGAGAACTGGGTGAAAAGAAGGAGAGAAACTATGCAATCATAGTGAAGGTTTTATTGGTTTAAATACTTGTAGCATTCAAATATTGTCACAACATCAATCATTTCTTTTTTTCCAGTGGAAACAGCATGTGTTGCAGGTCCTTTCATCATTACCGTGTTCTATCAGCACCTCGAGCTGCTTGTTCTTAATTTTCTGACTGAGTATAATTACACAAACATATCAAAGGAAAAACACAAAATTCAAGATTCAGGCTGGCATACAGAGGTGTGTGCCCATCATAGTTGTATACATTCATTAGGCACAAACATCTAGTTCCTACCTTGAATCATTGGATTCTATCACTTTAACACAAACATGCAGAATAGAAATTCACTACCTGGATAAAAGAAGCCGTTCACAGCTCTATGTCACAAGACTGCAGTTTATAAACACCACAGGGCCGGCAATAATGAAAAGTACCTCATAATTAAAAGGAGAACCATACCCACTTCTCTGATTATTTCTGCGTCTCCGTTTTGCATTTTTCTCCCAACAAAAGAGTGTGAACCGCGGAGGCCATTTAATTAAAAACCGTGAAAACACTGCAGATGCAGCAACTGGTCATTTACATTTTGGACGCGGAGCAGGTATGCAGGCGGAGGAAAATGCAGAAAAAACCCACGCAAACTATGTGCAACACTGAAACGAAAAGCTGTGAAAGCGTTACTGCTGTCAGCATTCAGGAATCATTATTTTTACAAAGTAACAAGCTGCTTTTCAGCAAACCAGAGAATGTTGGCTCACTTTTACTTTGTAAAGTGCACTGAGACAACCTGCAGGTGGAATGAAGGGCTTAAAAGGTCTAGAAAATGCTTGGAGAATGTAACAATAACCAAATAATGGTGAAACTCTACCTTTTGGAACGCGATATGACTTCAAAAGGCGTTTCTCCTGAAAAATTGCTAATTTGTCTCCGACAGTTCAGAAGCGAATTCTCATGATAGGATTGAGTTGGAGGACACTCCCTGAATCCCAAAGTCATCAATAACATTGACTGTGGAAAAGACAACGATCGGTCTGAGCTGTCTCATTAAAGGGAGGGGACGCGTCACCTCAAAATGAGGCTGGACTCCAGGAGACTCCGCAGCAATAACGCCTTAAAACCAATAAATTAAATTAAGACAAACCATGTAATAGCCATGTATTTGTTAATGAAATCATGTTTTTTTTTCTAGTTCCTTCGAGGTAACGGCTAAAGTATGTACAAGTGGCGAATGTCTGTTTTCTTTTTGTTTTCCTTTTCAGTGCACGTATTCATCATCACTTATGTCTGAGTCATCGGCCTCCACCTCTCCTTCAATCACTGACTTCTTCCCTCTGCAGCAGGACACCACCAGGCCAATGAGGAAAGCCTACGGTAAAAATAATAAGCAGAGCATGCATTAGGAGATATTTCACGAGGAGCATTTGATCGATAGCGTCCAGCAAGAGCTCGCAGGAAAGAGGCTATTAAACTTCTTTTTTCTGAGGCGATAAGCAGTATGTGCAGTCTTGGGAGATTATTTTCCATTAGCCTTTTCTGAGTCCAAATTAAATCACACATTTCTACTCTGCTGCTCTCCCCTGAAGTAACTCCTCCAGTAATACTTCTGAATTCCAAGTTTTAAATTTCCTGTAAATGTTTTTCACAGCCCCACACAAAAATCTAAAAGTTAGAGATCAATGTGTTTTTGTTTTTTCACTGTACTGAACTTCGCTCTCAAAATACAGATGAGGTCATTTTTTCCACATATCTGAACTCACCCCGATAAAGGCCCAGTTCCCAAAGTAGTAGATGGTGCTGAAGAACCAGAACTTGTGGAGGAAAAGGTAAGTCCTTGTCACGATGCACTGGTCTGAAAGAAACAGAATGTTTCTTTGAAAATGTTGTTGGTACTTGCACACACAGATCAAAGAAAACTTTATGTATTTGGAAAGGACAAGCCAAAGAATGTCCATCAAAAGCACAGAGTCTAAACCTGTTAATACATTTCAGGTGAGAGCCTTTTTTCTGCATTCACATTTTCTCTGTGGTCTTGACTTTCTTAGAGGAAAGAAAAAAAACAACAAAAAACACAGCAGGGACCAAATAGAATGTGACACCTCCACTGCTTCATGCTGTCCATTTTCTGTCTGTACCATAAGGGTGTCCAAACTCACTTAGGAGCAAAAAAAACCTGGCAGCCATTACGACATGAGCAGTGCCTTGGGCTATTTTCTAATTTTAACACACACAAAAAAAAGACAACCTGTAGTCTGAGGAGAGAAAAGTTGTGTCAGAGTGGATGTGAGTATGTCTGAACCACAAAATGAGTCTGGACTGATGTAACACTAAGAAGAGCCTTGCATCAAGAATTCTCCATTTTACCCTGTGAAAAGCCCACCGGTAAAATCACGAACATACAGAAGACATCAAACATAGAAGAGAGCCGAGTGCAGGTTTTAGGCGCTTAAGATGTTGGTATTATCATGCGTTATCCAAATATATGCAGGAAGTGATAAAGATATATGTTCAGTGACGGGAAGAAGAAAGAGAGCCCTCATCTCATTAAGTCCATTTGGGAAAAGACGTACAGATAGACTCGCATTTAGAGCACATGTGTGTGCGTGGCTCATTTAGAGCAAAGCATAAAGCAGAATGAGTTATCTGGTGTTGTTAGCAGAAGAAGTCAGTCTGCTGAAAACAGATGCAGCGGACTGCACGTCATAGCGGAGCAGATGGTGGTGTGAAGTCCAGTAGTGATTCCACTGCCGGTTGCTGCCTACCTTTTTGAATTATTGAGACACGACGCTGATAAATAATGACTGTAACACAGTAGATTGAACTCACTGTAGGCTGCCGCGAAGAATTTTTAATTTGGGTTTTCTGTGTTTACTGAATTCTGGATTATGGTGATGACTAAGTAACCGAATGGCAGCGGAAGCGGACTGCAGAGGGCAGCTTGATGTCTGGCTCTCACAGCCCACATATTGAAGTGTCCTTTGGCGAGATGCTGTGGTGTATACATTATATTATCATTCACCATTTAAAAAATAATAAAAGCAAGGAAAGGTTCACACATAAAGAAAAGCCCAATGCTTGAACGATTTGTGAAGTTCAAAGTCTGGATTTGAAGCAAACTGAGGCACTTAAGTGACATCTGTCCCTTAGATAACTCCCTTCTTTTGTTTGGCAATTTTGCGCTCTCGGTAGGTGACATCACCTCTGAGCTCACTTCTCTTTTTGACAGAATTAATACAGCTATTGATCAGGCTGGTGCAGGAGTAACACAATCATTCTTTTGTCGAGTCATTCCCCTTTGTGCACGTGAATTGATCTTGGCAGCGACGAGAAATGCTGATGACGTCACAAAATGGAAAGTGCCAATGATATGCATGCCGCATCTGAGCCTCTCCTCGCTAATCCAATTTTTTTTATTTTTTTGGAAGTGTGCAAAAACCGAGGGGAAAGGAAGGAAGGAAGGAGAAAAAAACACTTCAGATCACGTTTATTAATAAGCCTTGGCAGGAAAAATAAAGCGCGGAAAAGATAAATATCAGCACGTCTAATTAAGTGTATTTTCAGCAGAAGAAGGCGAGAGAGAAAGTCAACAAAGCTGAAGTGAGGATGAGATCTACTGTCGGGCAATGTTGGAGAGCCATCTGGAGCATTAACGCTAACCCCGCTGAGCTGCTCACATCACACTGTTTTTAACACAACTCCTCACACTGCCTCGAACCCCAGTGCAGCAGCGCACTCAGACTTATATGAAGCTACATGACATCTAGGTCCACAGCAATAACCGCCAGGTAAAAGTTTAGTTATTAAAGTCAATACTTTTAAAGCACATGCCACTAGAGTGCTGAATTTAAGAAAAGAGATTAATCCGACTCCGCCTTACTTCTGCAACCGTGATTAGACGGAGGAAACCCGTGGGACCTCTAAACTTCTATCAACGATCAGCTTTCACCTCACCAGGATCAACAGATAAGAAGAAGTGGGTCCTAATTCATTTCCTTGACTCCACTCCTTCCCTCCTTACTGCAGCCATCTGCAGCTCTCCAGCTGCTTTCCTGAACCACCCGGCTCTGAGTGGGACCCGCAGATGGTTCACAACAGTGGTCTGCCTAAATATATTATCATGTACAACACTGACCAGCTTCACCTTGAAATCATCATGGTACCTCGGTGTGTGAGGGGCAGGTAATTTCACCTTGACTCATGATATCCAGATGAGTGCTGCTTGGTGTGGCATGATGCATTATGTATATCTTTCATCTCTGCATTCAAACACCTGCATAAAACCCCGTGCGCGCACACACGCGAGCACTTTGCTTTCTTTTCAAAGCCTCTCAGTCAGCACGCGCTGTGGCAGTACCTCTGTGTGCTTTGGCTGTCTTTCAATCTAACATGAAGCAACCCCTTTCTATTCAAGAGTCCTCTGAGGATGCTGATGTTCCTTCGGCAGAATTATTTTCTAAGTCTATGCGCCTCATAATGGAGCTGGATTGGAAAGTTCACCAAAGCATCCTTTCACGGCGGAAAATCCATTTGAGCGGCGCTCACGACCTTTAAATGGGACCCAAAAGACGGCATTCACAGAACTAACCTATGACTTGACCTCCCCTAAACCTCTGACCGTAACCCAAGAGAGAAAAGTGCACTTGACGCCTTGTTTTCATTGCTGTTAGTTACATAAAGGACATGGCTTTATTCACAGTGGTAATTTGCTGCTGTAAAAACTGTCAGGCTGAATGTGTTACACACACCCTCAGACTTTTCTGATACTGTTAGTGTGATGAAGATTTTTTTTCCTTTAGTGGAAAATAAGGACGCTCGTTTGCTTGCGCTTTATCGTTTGCAGGACATTTTCACAAGGACTTTACACTTCCCTTTACTTTCTCAGATCTTTGAGAGCCTGATTTCTGTGTGGAATGCAGCTTCTCTGGACTGCTGGTAGCTGGTAGTAACTGGTAGCATCAGATTTTACAAAGGGGAACGTACAAATGTATATCGAATTCTTCACTTCCTTTAAATATTTGTTTTCTAAACATTTCTAAATAAAGATTTGTAATTGTTTTCTTTTTAATTGCTTTGGAGTATTTCCTGGAGGGAGTGAGAAGTAGCAAAAGAGAGGCTCAGACCTTGTGAAGCATATTTTTGATCAAGGAAATATTAGGGTTATATTCTTTATTGTGGCCATTCTTTAAAGCATGATCCAAGATGAAACTGTGCTTTAAAGAAGAACTGAGGGGCATCCAGTGTAAAAACTCCTGTCAGAATCTGCCAAGCGAGTCAAAGCTGATGCACTGTGGTGAAGCCTGACAGGAAAAGCCGACCGGCGACAGTAATATTCAGTTACATCTGCATGCTTTCTGAGTTCAGTTTTTTTTTTTTATCCTGACAGTTCACCTAATGTTCTCAGTTATTTCGCAAGCTTTGTGAAGAAATAGCAGGTTGTTAAATGTTAAACTTTGATAATCACAGTTTAAAAGTTTATTCACGAGGCAAGAAGCTAATAGTGATTTATACAAAACACATTCAGAGACCCCAAGGCAAAGAGTGGTATTTAAAACTTACTTTGTGATTTAAATACTATCCATTTAGCGCAGAAAATGCCAACTAAATAGATATTCTTTAAAGGTGAGAGTTCTTGTAAAAAGGTAAGTGCTGTCTGTGGCTAACAAGTTGGACGCCTCTTTCAAGAGAATAACGTTTGATTGACGTTTTTCATTATAATGTAAATTGATAATGATCCCCTTGTTGCCATGAAAATTAGTATTAATTTGTGTTGGGGTTCAGGGAGCCGCCTGTTGAAAATTGCTTGGGCACCTGACATCTGAGAGCCAGCACATAAGATTGTGACCATTATCCCTCTGGAGCTCTTTAAAAACAATGCAGTGGAAACTGGCAAGTTGCTAGGTAACAGACAGCAGTCCATAGTGGGGAAATAGTCCTTTGTTTTACAATTTTTTCATCATTGGCTTTTCATATCAAGAAACACTGTGTCTAGCAGGGTTATAACTATATGTCTGATTGTGGTTCAAATATAGCTTGAGCCTTATCGTATGGTACATGCAGTTATAGAAAGAAAAGAAAATTGATCAAGGAGTGAAAAGTGGGAGTAGAATCAGACGTTTTCATGGTAAATTGAGCTATAGAGTCAAAAGCAAAAACCTGTGTTTAAACTTGACATGAGATGGGAAATGGGCTCTTATCCAGTGGAAAAAATGTTCACAGCTTTCATGTCAAAAGCCAAGATACTACTGTGAACGTGTTTAGATTTTTTCCATCAACTGAATGCACAAATGCCAAGAGTCCTAGAGCATTTAATACAGACTTGTTTATTACTCACTGAAGAGAAGTGTTTGGTTTTGGAAAGAAGTCAAGAGTGCATCACAAAATGTGATTAAAATTATTGGTTAAACTTTAAAAGGCTCCACCATAACCAATAACAGAGTTTCTAAACTGATGATAAAGGCACTAAGAAGACAGCAATAAACAAGAGTCAGCGACAATTAATTGCATGGGATGGGGAGTGATCTGTACAAATGGACATGAGGAAAGATAAATCTGTAATGAGTGTGGTCAAAATGAAATAAAATCAAAGTGAGATGGAGGCCCATTTAAAAGGGTCTGATGGATTATAGACTGTTAAAACTATCCTCAAAATAAGGGGAAATTAATGGGAGTGTCATTCTGGCAACAGTGTTTCTTCCAAGTGGGTTGTGCCCTCAAATACGACCTGGGGCTGTACACAGGCCTTTCCTTTTTCAGCAACAGGTGTTATGCTGACGGATTTCTTTTTGGGGACCTTGGTTAGGGGATAAGAAATGCCTTTGCAGTTTTGTCTTCAGAGGTGGAACATTAGGAGGG